ATGTAAATGCTCATAGACGACAGCGAGTCATCTACGTGTGAAAATTAGGTTTTCTCATAGAACTGTGAACCACTGAAATGGTCTGTCAGATCGTATATGTCGGCACTAAGGAACCTTAATCTTCTGTTAATACTTCGGAAGTGAGATTGAATTTGCACAGTATTATGACAATGAGTTGTACTCATTGTCAATAGCATGCATTTATCACCTAATACTGTATTTGGACATGTTATCGGAAATGTGGAGTCAGAAGATTGTTTTAGTGTGATCGCGTAGCAGCAAGTGATAGCTGACTACTTGAATTGAGACGCAGGGTATTCTTGATACGTCTAATCTCTTGTCGTAGATTTTCTTTCTTTTGCCCCATGAATTAGACACTTAACTAAACCTACCTTAACTGAAATGGGGTGACGTGATTTAAAGCCTAAGTAGCGTTTCGAATGGGAGGGTTTCCTACACACAATAACTTCTAAACTTCTCTCTTTTTTTTGTTTAATCTTGCGGTTCAACCCTGCTAGCTCACCTTCATCACTTTCTAAGTTACAGACAAATTGGATTGCATTTACTTCTACCACACATAAATTTCGTATATTCGCGTAAAGGCTAGTTATGTCAAAACTAACCATTTCTTCACTGTTACCAGCTCGTATATCATCCGATCTATGGTTCAATTCATGAGATTCCATATTAGATTTGTTTATTTGATATAAAGCGCACAGTGATACAGTATTATTTAATTGATTACGTTTCGAGCATAAATTATTGCTCATAATCATATCAATGTAATCATACTTCTTTCGACATCTGATTTTATAGTCCTGTCACCTGATCTCTCTTTGTTTTTTTGTTTTTTGATTGGTAGTAAAGTTTTCCATATCTCTGGTATAGGTGTTGCGTCATTCCTATTCCACATGTGTTGGGTGTGGATTCGATGAACAAAGATTCAGTAATTAATCTCTCTCTCCACCTAGCTATATTAGACTTAAGTACAGTGGTTTTGTCCCACCCTATTGTGTGGTTGTGTGTTAATGAATGTAATGCAATGGCTGAGTGTTTTTCTAGGTTATTGATCTTATTGGGGTCTGCCGTTCTATGTTTAGCTAAATTCCTATGTTCTGTTAATCTAACTGACCCCGACCGGCTAGTTTGACCTATGTATTTGACTTCACAGTCATTACATGGAATTTGGTAGATTATATTATTTTGCTTAATTGGTTCTATCGATCTTTTAGAAACTCACTAGTCATTGTAAGGACTTAAATAAGGAATTGAAACACATAAAAGAAGCGTTAATAATCAATAATTATCCCCATCATTTTATTAAGAAATTCACACGGACGCATAAGAAGCAAAATAATAACACTAATACAAATACAAATAATAGTGACAACATAAGTAGAAAGGAAATCAACACCTCTATTGTGATACCATACAAGGAAGGAACATCAGAAACCATACGTAGGATTCTCAACAAGGTTGGAATTAGGGTGGCATTTAAACCAACAAACTCACTTAGAGGTAAGCTTTGTCGGCTAAAAGATCCGATAGAACCAATTAAGCAAAATAATATAATCTACCAAATTCCATGTAATGACTGTGAAGTCAAATACATAGGTCAAACTAGCCGGTCGGGGTCAGTTAGATTAACAGAACATAGGAATTTAGCTAAACATAGAACGGCAGACCCCAATAAGATCAATAACCTAGAAAAACACTCAGCCATTGCATTACATTCATTAACACACAACCACACAATAGGATGGGACAAAACCACTGTACTTAAGTCTAATATAGCTAGGTGGAGAGAGAGATTAATTACTGAATCTTTGTTCATCGAATCCACACCCAACACATGTAATAGGAATGACGCAACACCTATACCAGAGATATGGAAAACTTTACTACCAATCAAAAAACAAAAAAACAAAGAGAGATCAGGTGACAGGACTATAAAATCAGATGTCGAAAGAAGTGTGATTACATTGATATGATTATGAGCAATAATTTATGCTCGAAACGTAATCAATTAAATAATACTGTATCACTGTGCGCTTTATATCAAATAAACAAATCTAATATGGAACTACATTTTACCACAGTGCCCAAGTTTTTCACTTATATCAATTCATGAGAGTTAGTGGGTTAGAATTTTGAGTGATTTCTGATTGTGCCTAGCACCATTGCTAAATATTTGGACAGCTCACAAGTCAATATTTCTGACTAACAAATTGGCTCAGAGACAAGGTTTGTGGGTTAAAAGATCCTATTGATGCAATTAAGCAAAATAATCTGCTTTACGAAATCCCCTGCAATGATTGCGAGGTGAAGTACATAGGTCAAAGTAGTCGACGAGGGTCGATTAGAATAACACAGCACAAAAACTTAGCTAAATGAAGATTAGTAGATCCTAATAAGATAAGAAGTCTAGAGAGAAGCTGGGCTATAGCTCTGCACCCAGTTACACATCGAGGTGGGATAGAGCGACAGCACTAAAAACTAACTTAGGTGGAGTGACAGATTTGTAGCCAGGTCTTTGTTTATCGAATCAACACCAAATACATGCAATAGAAATGATCCTTCATCTGTCCCAAATATATTAAAAATTCTACTACCCTTGTCACAAAGAAGCAGAGAAAATTAGGACTATATAAACCCTGTTTCAAAGTTGTGGAGCTACTCGATATAAATATGGACAATAGATTGTGTCCAAAACGTTATCCAGTAAATGATACTGTTTCACTGTATGACATTTCTAATAAACAAACTGAAATGGAACTAAGATCTATCACTATGTCAAAGTCTTACTCTTATATTAATAACAGGTTGTATAACGCCGTAGTGATGCGAGATTGCCTGTTTAGTATTGAGCGTACTGCGCTGCAGTTGGTGATGTCCTGGCATATATCTGTGAAACATGGCGACTAGAGGTGGAGGACATGATGGAAGGCCTGAAGTGTTAGACCATGGTTGTCTGTGTAGCATAGGCCACATATAGTGGTGTCAGCTGGTCATTCAGAGGGAAGTCAGATGAAGAGCTTTAGGTAGAGGGAGGCCAGTTGACGAGTTTGTGAACCGTCGTCGACTGAGTTGTGTGGGCTATGTGTCGCGCATATCAATTCATCATGTGTCTGGTTGCACAATGTTAGCTGAAGTGAGGCAAGGAAAGTATTTGTAGTGGTCAAGGTTTCAACATGGGATCAGTCGATGAGGTATTCGACTGTTGATTTGAGCGGTTGAGGGGAATGTAGACTTCCGTGTTGGGGTCCGCTTGACACGGAAACCAGTGGTTGGAGACTATTCGTGATATGACTGAGAATGAATCTCAATGGCACCTATTTATCTACATACCACCTTCGTCTTAGTCGTCATGCTGAACTTCAGTATTCTGTCGTTCCTCATCGTTCTCTTTAGACGAGTTTGCACCACATGTCATATATTGAAGAAGTGGTTGACGATTTTATCTGGAAAGTTTTACTTTATAAGAGATATATCAGTGATATGGTCATTATATGCGAAAAGCCTGACGATGCGACGTGTCTGCAAAAGAAGATGAACATGGCTCAAAATTACTTTAGCCTTTCTTGTGAACAAGAGACGAACACCTAGCTACCGTTCCTAGACATATTGCTAAGCCAACGGGAAGATGGTTCGATCAGGAGGTCGATCTATAAGAACCCCACGTGAACAGATTGATATCTTAGTTTCTATAACTACTACACATTTCAATGTAAACGTGGTTTCTTTAGGTGCTTATTCAACAGGATGAAGAGCATCTGCACCGATGATACTAAAGAAGAAGAAACTAAATTACTAATGACAACACTGATACAGAATCGCAAACCGTCGAAATTTATCAATAGGAGCAAAAGTTACGTAGCACTTAAAAGTATGCAGTGTTCCGTTCCTAAGGGAAATGTCTACATCTCATCGTCATTTAGAGCTAATTTACATCGCTTGTAGAGATGACAAAGTCTATGTTACAACAAATCAAAACAACACATTAACAATCATATCCCACTGTGTATACCAATTTACATGTATTTTTGGATACATGCAGTTAAAGATAGTTAAGTATGTACCTAAGTGGCTTCAAAAACAAATGACCTCAACAGAGCCAATAAGGGAGGGTGACAAACGTCCATTTTCATCTATTGCTAAGCACGTGCTAGGAACTAGTCGTAAGGTAGACATGAGAACAACCTTCAAAGTACTTTATAAAAGTGGTCAGGGTCGAGTACTTGAAGTTATTGGAGTTCTTGCAATCCATAAACTCAACACCCCGTTATGTATTCAAAAAGCATGTTGAACTTAGTATAACTGATTTTAATTTTCATATCAAGTGTGAGATTTTTTTTCTTTGACTTTCCTGTTCTCATGTTTCCTGTTGACTTAACTGACCCTTTTAGCAAATTTTCGCATAAATAGCCCATTTGTGATCAGATTGTTCGAAATATATACCTCTAATACCCTACATGTTTCATATACTCTTCGTCTTTTCATTACACTGTTCAAGTTTCCTTGGTCATTTATTATTACAATGACTGATGTCGTCATTAATCTCAGATACAAAGCATGCGTACCTAACTCAAGGAAGCTTAATACTAAATTTGTGCTAGTTTAGACATTACTGGAAACTAATTTTAACTCATTTGTCTGCTAAATACTTAGTCAAATAAGCGAATAAAGCCAGTAAGTGGAAATTAATTGTAAAAATCCACTGTGACTGTTTTGATCTATCGGCCATGACAGATATCTTCACAGTACTACAGATATGTCCTTGATACTGTTATTGATTTCAAGACTGCTGTTTTAATGAGCATTAGTAGACAGTCCACAACAGTCAGTGATGTTCATTGACCAGGCCACATGATCAACAAAATTAATGTCAGTTTCAATTATGTGAAACAGAGCTGGTTAGCAGTGTATTTGTGCAAATTAGATTTAGATATTTGTCTTGTTTCAACAAAATTCAAAGCTAGATTTTTCTATTTTTAAGGGATCAGAAAGAAGTAGAAAATATAGCGGCAACTGTAAACGGAATGCATGGTTGTTAATTAATTAAAATAGGTTACATTCTAGTGTGGATAAATAAATTCTTACATTAACAACAAAGTTGTAAAGGGAGCAAGAGTAATCATTTATGTGGCGAGAATAGTCACACTGGGTTTATTATCATATATGAGGCTATACTTTTTCCCCTAAACACGATCGATATAGGCTTTTTAAATGCACACAATATTTAAGAATGACATTACAGAAATTTGATGACCAGCACTTTGTGCAGTTCACTTGGATTATTTTTCATCATAGATGAAGATTTTGCAGCCATACATCCTTTTTTATGGTAACTACTGAGCTACTGTCGTCGAAAATCTTTTTTTTCTCAAAATTTTGAATGGACTTTACTACTGTTCTCATACCCCGTCGTTTCAGATGGCATTTTAGTCAAAGTTTGTTTGCGCAGTTTAACCAGTGTAGTATTCCCGATTGTTTCCATGAATGTTGGCTTCAAATTTGAAAATCGTTCGACATAAGCTGATCCCAATTTATAATTGTAAGCTGAAGAATTTGACATAAATTGATACTCACAAAGTGATGCAGTCATTTTTGAAGTAACCACTGTTTGGCTAAGTAGTTTTGGCGTGCATAGGCTTCTTCCTGTATCTAGACTAGCTGATTGGAATTTGTTCAACTTCTGCGATAAAAATATTCATGTGAAAAATTTAGTAAAATACAAAGTCCTTGAAGACAGACTTGTGAGTATACTATTCAGTTATCCTTGAAGTATTAAAAGTGATATATTTAATTTACAAAACTAGAAAACTAAGTTTAATTTTCGCTCCTGTAACGCAGCATCATACATACAAACGATGATATTTTACTATCTATCAGTGGGATCTGGTTCATTTTAATGTATTTGGCTAAGAATTCATCATATATTTATGTTGGTTTAAACTTTCAGGTATCCTTAATAAATGTGGAAAGAAAGCCATCGAAACGGAGGTTGAATTGATGGAACTGTAATATATTTGTATTTGATGTAAAAAATATACACGAATGTTAGTTGGTTGGAAACAGTCGGCAGGAAGCTGTGGACCTAGGTTTCATGCTTGTCAACAAGGCATATCTGCAACCTCGAGGGAATTGATGTCCCCTGTTAGGTTCAAATCATTGTCACCCAGTGTTGTAGTCAATAACGTTACCAGTAAACTGTTCGGACCGCGATTGATCTTCTGAAGAGCTAGGTTACACAAATCGGTTAATCACTGGAGTGCAACCAATCTCATGCTGTCTAGTTCTGAGTGCAGACCGAATTCTATCGATTAAATGTGCACGAATTCTGAATATAATAGACATACATTACGTTGTTGTCACCTCCAATGGTTGACGTTTACTAAAGTTATTCTGTTCTCAAGTATATAGCAATATATCACCTTCAATCAGTCACTTGGACCATATTTTTCTGATTAGTCGGTACATTACTAATCAGGATTTTCACAGAGCTATCATGTAGTATTTCCAGGTGGTCGGCTTTCAACTACAGAGTATAATGTTCATATTACATTAAATTCGCGATGGTGTCCCTGACGAAGCACTATCATTCAATATCGTACGTTACGTATGTCTCCCAGTCTAGTTGTAGTTCCTTACTTTGCCGTTGCACCTTTTTGATTATTCGCAGTCATATCACCATTTAATAAGCAGGAACGAAGAAGCCTCATGAAATCTTGCTTATAATGTGAAGCAGGTTCACGCTTCTGATGCCTACTGCCTTGAGTGGTACAATAAGTGAAGAGTAGGAGTCTTCCAAAGAAATGAAGATGAAAGTCAACCTCATCAGATTATTATTTGCTCCAAACTATCCATCCATTTAGTGTGCCAAATTGAATTACTGGAAGTTTTTACCAGGCTTCATGTCAGTCATTTAGTCAATTGCAATATTTATACTGATGTGCCATCTTTTTCTGTATAATTCATAAGAACTGCGACTTTTTCCAAAGCTTTTGTCAGCCTTTTTTCGATCTCGTTATTTCTTACTTTCCACATCCATTATCATTAAACATCTTTCACTTATTTGGCTTAATAAAGAGGCAACTAAATAGATCTCAAGCTACTCTTACTAATCTCTAAATTAGATTCAAATTAGCTTACTGACTACAGAGAAAAAAAGAGGTAAATATGACCATACAACAACACGTAAGCACGTAGTCTCTGCGGAAACTTCATAAATTGGAGGTACATCCTGAAATTCGACTTCAAAAACATGTATTTAAGTATTGTTAACTTTCTGTGCTAATCAGCCACAACTGTAATTTGTAGTACGTTTCAGCTTCTAAATGTTCGACAACTGAGAAATGAACTTATTTTGCATAAAAGTTTGATTTTACAAGCAGTTACCGTAGTTACCTAATAGTATTCACTAACTGTAAAAATAGCTGGTGCACATCACATTTGTAGCTCCAAATAACCTTCTTCACTATCTTATTTAAAGCAGACCTATAAGTTTCTTCATTGATGTTCAAATCGCTTGTAAAAGGTGATAGCAGAACTGCTTCGGAATTGTCTTATTGCCACTCCATATCAGTTCAAGTCAAGTTTTCGTTAAAATCGAGGAGCTATATATCCCAAAGACTTTCCACCACTTATCAGAATTTTATTCTAGTGGTTGGAAGCGGGAAAGTTACGATACTTTTTAGATAACAAATGAGAAGCAAAATTTTCATAAAAGCATTAAGGGATTGATACACGTAACTATAGGAGTTACAGATGAATGAAAGCCTCTTATGTATACGATATTTTCCTTTAAGTAGTGAAGGCAAACACCTAAATTTAGTTGATGAACAGAGAAAGACTTTTTTCAGTAGCTTATCATTAATATTTAATCACTTTAAATTTTTAGGAACGTCTCATTCTCACAACAATTCTATTTAATATGTAACTCAAGCTGTACTTGACGAGTGATTTTAAAGGCCACGCTAACTACGCCTGAAGTAACCAGTCAGGTCTCTCGATTTTGGCCAGAAAGGTAAATGTTTTCATGCAGTAACTAACTCTTTTGGATATTTCAGTAGTTGTTAGGCTGGATTTCAGGATCATTCACATTTGATACAAAAAAGGTTTTGAGGTCCCTGACAGGTAAATTATTTGAAGAGGTGTTAGTTACACGTAAACTGTAGTAACTTACGGTAGTTCTCAAGTCTGAACTGGATATCTTTGAGTTTGATTTATCCTCGAAACCAGCAAAATACGAACCACTTATGGATTCTTTGGTGTGAATTTCAGATAGTGTATTCTGGCAGTTAACTTCACTACAGCATGAAATAGATGAGTTATCAATATTAGGAACGTAATCATTCATCACTTCACTGAAATTAAACACTTGTTTTATGTCTCGAAACACATTCAGACATAACACGAATCCCATCATTTGAAACTTTCCTAATCGTAGATTACTTGATCTTTTCAGATCATGAAAAGGAATTTCATTTTCAGGCAAACATAAAAATAAATTGAAAACATTTTCACTGACGTTATTGGTAAACTGAACAAAGGCTTCATCATTTTCATTATTATCATTTACTTCAGAGAAATTAACATGTTTGAATGAGATAAATTGTTTGTTTCATTTCCTGTCAATGGGACGCAATGCTTCCACATCAATATATTCTGAAGTACAAAAATAGTGTAAGATGAGTTTTGTTAAAAATATCTGGCATTATAGCTGAGATGACTAAATGTAGATAAGAATTTCTGAGAACAGCTACTGTTCTAGTGGTGCATATAGAAATAAAACAGCAAATGCTGCTTAGTCAGTACTTTCGGAGATGATTGTTTAACATCAAATGACTTTCAGTTGATGCTTGGCATATGTTTCTAGCTGTCTGTTTCATCTAACCACTTCAGCGTGAATACTTTTAACTGCATCTTTCTGCTAAGAAGCATTACTACATTGTTCATTTATTCAACTGACTGAACCCACCCAAATCAAGTGTGCATCATGGTTCTTGATAGATATCTTAAGTGACCAATCTGACTCAGGAATTCAGCGTTCAGTCACTTACTTAGGGATGAGTTGTTTGCTAAGTAGCTAAGTAACAAACTCCCCACTCTGTATTTGTCAACTTACGTCGTTGTGAATACCTACTAGAGGACAAGTGGATTATGCAAGAGTTAACTCTATTCTTTTTCACGACTGTGAGACACGGCCACTGAAATTAAATAATATGAAAAGGTGATGATGTAAAATCAACCCCGTGCATGTTAATTCATTAGGCTACAACCCATATTTGTTGTATCAGAACTTATGATGCTACTAGATTGCCCTGGATGATACAGACGGAGTGGGGTCGGAACTAAGAACCCATTGCTTGAAAGTTGAATATTTATGACAATAGGCGTTTTTGTAGCAATGTTAACATTTTGTGGAATCACTATATGAACAGTGTCGAAGTTAGATGTAAAGTAATAAAGGTAGAAGCTAAACCAGTCGACAAGGTTACGAACCTTCACTGACTACGTTGACTGCGACACGTATAGTGTATCCCAAGCCATCACCTTCCCAGAAATGCAATGTTAGCTGAAGTTGGACGGAGTTGAAAAAAGCTCAGAGTGACCACACCAAGATGCAATACAAGTCAGAGAAGTTTCCTGGCATTACTTTGAGCTGACTAGGAAGGAGTTAACTGCCTGAAGGGAATAATCGAGACTATAAGAATGAATGGTTGGTGACTCGTAGTGACATTTGACTAATCCTGCCTTAACTGACATTGGATGGGATGATTTAAAGTCTAGATACCTGTTGGAATGTGTTGGTTTTCTGTAGACAGTAGTATCCAAGCCACCGTCTGTTCTTCGTTTTATTCTGCAATCCAACGTAGGTAATTCTCCTTGTTTATTTTCTACCTCGTAAGTGAATTGGATTGCGTTGGACAGGTGAAGTGCACACAGAGGTCTTACTGCCATATCTTTCCCACCACCAGAAAGCGGCAAGAATATATATGGTCCAACTAACTCGTAATTGGAGTTCGACTGAAATTAGGGTGGCATTTAAATCTACTTAATCACTCAGAGATAAACTTTATCGGCTTAAGGATCCGATAGAACCAATTCAGCAAAATAATGTAATCTATCAAATTCCATGTAATGACTGTGAGGTCGAGTATATGGGTCAAACTAGTCAGTCGGTGTCAGTTAGAATAGCCGAACATAGGAATTTAGTCCAATATAATTAGGTGGAGAGAGAGAGAAAGATTGATTACTGAATTGTTGTTCATCGAATCAACACCCAACACATGTAATGGGAATGACGCAACACCTGTACCAGAGATAAGAATAATTTTACTACCAATAAAAAACAACTCATATAAAGTGAAGTAACTATAAAAATCAAATGTGGAAAGTAGTGCGATTACATTGATATGGTTGTGAGAAATAATTTAAGCTGGAAATGTCATCAAGTAAATAATACTGTATCACTGTGTGTTATTATTCAAATAAACAAATATAATATGGAACTTTTGGATTTATTAATATGTTAGAATAATAGTAGGACTTTTTCTGTCAAACCAAAAAATATCACAAATACTATTAGATATCCAAAAGTTATCTAAATGATCATTCTGAGCGCAACAAGTAAAGTGCTATCACTGCATCACTAAGCATAGAAAAGACAGTAAATTCAATGTCATCCTTCTATTCTGTTTTCCTATTCAACTATTCTGTAGTTTAATAAACCTAATGCCGTTAGAATAGATAAATTGATCTTCCAAAAATTGTTTCTTTAGTTTTTACTCAGATTATAAAATGATACCAAATATCACCATTAACTTCATAGCTAAAATTCTTAGGAAGAAAAATCCAAAACTCACTTGCAAAGCTAATATGTTTTTGGATGTTGTCTCGATCACAGACCATGCATAGTCAATGTCCTCAACACAAGCATTCTCACAACACACAGCAAATCGAATGAAGTAGATATCGCGTGCCATTGAAGGAATAACACGAATTTCACGTCTTTCATTAATTATGCTAAATAAGCACTGATTTAATGTATTGGATCCCTTAGATAGTAAGAATTTAAATTGAATTCAAAAACAAATGAGAAACTTTGGTAAGGTGATCAAAAAGTGAATTGAAAAACAATCAGCAACCTTGTGCACATTACTGTAGTAGGCAACGAGTCACATCTGTTGTATGAGGATAAATGATACTAACTGACTTCTTATACATCCGTAGATGAAGTGGGGTTGAGACCCGTAACCCACTGGTTGGAGACCAACTACCTGAACCAGTGAGCCTCAGCTTTATGACTGTAGGATGGATTATTATAAGATTAAAATACTAAACCAACAAAATATATCATGTGCTACAACTCAGTTTACAAAGTTTATAAAGCTATAGCTGCTGGGAATAATAGCAGTGGCATGTTCAGCGTTGCATACAGATTTCAAAATGTGGGCACGAATCAACATCTTAAGTATTACATCTATATTTATAAAGCACAGAGAATATCAGTCAGTCTATGACTTCTTGTGTGGGTTGTAGGAGAATTTGGTGAGACAATTTCAAACTGGTGCTAAGAAACGTTTTCTACTACATAAACAAATTTACAGAACAATCACTCAGAATGAATATCCTAACCAGGGTAACTTAGACACTAAAGGTCAGTAATCCCACTATAAGTCACCAGCATGAACTATCAAGTGTACAAAAATTCCCACACTTCATCTATTTTTGGTCTGTGTTGGCAATACTTGACGGTACGAAGACTGTAATTCATTTGAAACCGCCCAGCGAAGGTTATACAATATTATTGAGAATCTTAGCACCAATGGGTTACTTAGCTTTTCAAAGCACGGTTACAGCCTTTTTTTCAGTTGTTGTAAGTGTGAACATACATACATAAAGGTGAAATATGACATGATTTGAAAGGATCCTATTTGCCATGCTTTATTAAGATTATAGTAACCCTTATGTTCTTCCTGAAGTGATATTGTTTAAGTTCCAAACTGTAGATTTACTCGACTTAATTTTAGTTAGAGAAACTGACAGATGATAAACAAAACAAGGTCTTCATTTTACAAATCATTACAATAGATTATTGACTGAAACAGATGAAGTGTCATCAAGTTAATCACAAGCAGAGATGTGTTCTAAGATTTATGACAAATCTTCATCGAAAGAATGGCACCTAGAAGGTTGATGATATCCAAAATCTTTAGATTGATAGTACTGTTTACTTGGTGCTCTAATGAGATACCAAGGTTTGAAATCCTTTGAGTAGAGTCATGCCGGTTCTTAGGCTTTTACGCAACAACAGTTGTGACTGTAAACTAAAACAATTTTCAAGTTGGTATCCATCGTAGACTGACATCAGTTGGAGGAACAATGGAAACCTGGGAGTACTGGACAGCTGTTTCGTCCTCCCATGGGACTGTTTGACAGTGCGCACCCATGATCCCACCAGGGGTCGAACCCACGAACTTTAGGTTCCGTGACCAGCAAGTTACCATTGAGCCACTGGTTCGGAATCCATTGGTAACGTGCTGGCCACAGAACCTGAAGGTTGTGAGTTCGATCCCTGGTGGGATCATGGGTGCGCACTGCTTAAGAGTTCCATGAGAGGACGAAACAGGTGTCCAGTACTCGCAGGTTTCCATTGTTTTTCCAAATGATGCCAGTCTACGATGAATGCCAACTTGAAATATTTCTAATTCCCACAAATCCCTCAAAATTCAATCAAAACAATTTTGCCAATCAAAGCTGTCAACGATGATGGAAATGAAAAATGTGTTATTAGAAAATACATAAAATTTTTTAGATAGCTTCATATTGTTTGTGGCCAATTACGGCAAACATTCGACATAATAACCGTTTGTCAATTTCTTCCCAAGGAACCAAAGTTAATATCTTATCCCTAATTTTATCACATATATTAAAGTTTCTTTGCTGTTTATTCCTCAGAAAAGTAATACCAATTCATTTATGAATTTTCTCAAATATCATTCGATTTGATTCTATTTTGTAGACTTTGTGATGTAGACCCTCACGCAGCTTAAATCAAAAAAACGTTTTCATTGAAACCGACAGTCTAAAGTGAAGTTCTTTCATCACAAGTTCAAGTCAATTAAATCAGACTACGAAGATTCCTTTAAAGTAGAAACCTGATTCTAACACCATCATGAGTACACATCACGTAAACATCTCGTAAATAATAATCTTAAGTACATTTTGTGAATAGATTCTAGAGTTCTTTATGCATATTTCGATGTAGGTCAATATAGTTAAGAGAGAGAGAGAGAGATAGGGTACTGAATCCTTGATCATCGAAGAAATAACTAACACATGTAATAGGAAAGACACAACACTAACACCGAAGATGTGGATGACTCTACTATCACCAACAACAACCATAAAATCAGATATTGAAAGTTGTTTGATTACTTGGATGTGAATATGAGCAATGAATTCTGCTGGAAGCTTCATGAAGTAAATAACAGTGCATCACTGTATGCTATAAAAAATAAACCAATCTAGTATGAGGAAAAGCTATCGTCTTACCTTTAACCTAAAACAAACAAGTCCCATTACTGGATTCCCAACGATTTCAAAATCACTGTTCATCCTTACTTTGTCTGCAAAATGTTTGGCGAGTTTGACATGCTAAAATTTAGAAAACTTATATTTTATTTTGTGCTTCACAATGCATAACTAATGGTAATAATAAAAGAACAAATAATAAGAACACTGACGGGAATAACATGATCATATGTAAAAGGTTAAATAGCTTCCACTTCAATATACACCGTCTATGGAATATCCACCTAAATTGAAATAGAGGTGAGTACCTACTTAATTCTGTTCCAAAACTATTCAACTACAATTACAAATAGTCTCATTAAACTGAATTCGATTTTGCAATCAATGGAGAATCACCATTGTTGTGCACTTTGGTGTCAGTAGGTTGCAGGTAATCAGCCAAAATGAAAAATCACCAACCGAATTCGATCAGTATAAGTGTAAAACGCGGGCACTGTGGTAGAATGCAATTCTATGACAGATTTGTTTGATATACAGCGGCATAGTGATACAGTATCATTTACTGTATCACTGTGAGCTATATATCAAACAAACAAATCTAATATAGAATTCGATCAGCTCTCAGAACTGGACAATACTATATTGGTTATTCTCTAGTAACCATCCAATTAATGTATCTAACCCAGTCATGTAGGAGGTCAGTTACCGCCTGAATAGCTAGGTGGTGACATTGCTGACTGCAGCACTGGTCGAAGGGGGTTCGGTTCTTTGAAGGGGGGATCAGTTCCTTTGAGGTTTCAGATATGTCTTGCTAATGAGTGCAAACAAGTATGAAGCCTAGGTTTAAGGCCTCCTGACGATTGCCTCCAACCAACTAACATAAAGTTAAACAGTGTGGAAGAGTCATCTGAAAATCTCAAGTGACTAACCTTCATAAAAGTGAAATATTTCACTGGATAAATTTATAAGTTGCCTTATGCAGTATGTTTCGTCTTATTCAGTCCCGCGTGCTGATCAAGTTCTATAGGCCATTTTACAATATGGCAGTGAAGGCATGAGATTTCATATCGGGTGTAGCTTAATTAAGGTTTCGTTGCAGAAAGGCCTGTACCTAGTCTTCTTGCTTTCTAGCACTCGTCAGTAAGACGCATCTACAGCTTTTGGAGAACTGATACCTACTAAGTGTTCTGAATCTGTGTCTCATGGTGATGCAGTTGCGAAAATTACGTTTAGTGTATCCCAACAAAGTTCAGATCTTTAAGAATTCAGTTCCTTTTAGACTGCAGATACGTCTTTCTGCCTATTCCTTCTAATCGCCTAACCTCATATTACTAACTTCGATATGTACTATGCAGGAAGTATCCGTTCAAGTCGGAATTAAGGTCATCCAAAGAATTACATTATCACTAGTTGATGACCTTCAACCTTACAGTTTCTTCATTGATTTAAAAAAACTTTTTCGCATTTAAAAGGTTAGTAACCCAATACAACATTCTTCATATTCAATCTTAATACTAAAGAAAATGAAAATCGATATATTTGCCTACTTACTCTTCGAATATACCTTCTTAAACCTGAAGCTCCATAAATTCGAACCACAAACCACAGTTTGAGTGCTCGAAACCTTCGACTCAGTGGGATACCCCAGTGCTGAAATTCAGAAAAGCAATATAGTAGTCACTTTTCTCGCTCCAAATGACCAAATTTGCAGGAAACAAGACTGTGTAGTTTCGCGCAACCAATGAAAGTTGCCACACACGTGATCACATTTTACTGCTGGCTTTAATGGCCTTCACTTTTAGAAATCTACCATTTAAATTTAAGAATCGTATCCATTTCAATATTTATGGATTGTGTAATCTGGATGTAGACCACATCATAACGTGTCTGATTATCGTCAAGAGTAAACAGATTAGATTTTATAACACCTTATCTCGTTGGTTATAACGTTTCAGACAGATAAATCTGACAAGTAAAGTATAATCTGATTACACTGTACCACAATGCTTAGCAAAAACAATAGGTTAATCATCTATTAGATTCTAAATCTGTACACGAAGCTAGGACCTCATCTCCCATGTTATCATAACCTTATTATCTGTTTAACTTTCTTATTTCTCAACATGTTTGTTCTCATAAGGATTTTAGGTTCATCGTTTTCTTTCCTTCCATTGCAACTTTTTGTTTACTTTTACAACTTGCAGATTGAAGCCATATAATCATCTTGTAAGCACTAACCACCTGACACAATGTCGTTCTTGTCATAAAAATTCAATATTCAAATTAACTGACAGAAAACTTATTATTCTGCTTCTTAAATAGTAAGACAAACTAATGCCGGTAAACATTATCTGTTAGCTAAGAAGTATA